TTAATTAGCGCTAAAGTACTGAAAAGTATATAAATATATAAATATGTATATATGGCCATTTCATTTGAGCTCTACACAGTTGCTATAATTTGCACAGTTTAGAAATTCATGGAATATTGATGGCAACCAATAAAATGCACTTAATTACAAGAACAATATGTGAATAATGAAATTGAAATGAATGGAAGATGCAGGACGTTTAATTGCATAGGTAAAACCGAACCGAACCGCAATAACCTAACTGCACGTCCGGCTGGCATCTATCATGACCACACCCACACATTGACATTGACATATAGCAATTACACTTGACATATGTGTGTGTGTGTGTGGGGCATACGGTCGTAAGGGCGACCCAGACCTGGCTAAAAGCCGTCCACGCCCATAAATCAACGACTGTGTGAAATAATCAAATGCTGGCATCTGCATAAATACGGCCAATTGATTTATTTGCACGAAAATAAACCAATTCTATGGCTGCCTTTTGGCCAAATTGTAAAATGGTTTGGCTATTTTTACACTAGCTCGAAATAAATTGAAAGGAAATCAACTATTTGTGTTTCTTTTTTTTTCTCTCTCTTTTTGCTGTTTCTGTTGTTGTTATTATTTTTGAGTTTGGGCCAAACGCGTCGAGTACATCGTCATCGTCATCGTTTCACTGTTTTGACCTTGTCACCAATCTTAACTTTTCTTTCATTTTCTTGGCTTCTCTTTCGCTTTTCTGTGTAATTGCTGCGAGTTGATCCATTAATCTAAATTGTTAACGAGCTCCACAGCTATCCAGCTGCTTTGTCGTCTACTGCTTCCTCTTCTACACTTTCGCAACGTGTGGCAACGCTGTGGCAATATTTTTTTATTATTTTCTCAAATCTTTGCGTATATTTCAAAACTTTTGCTTGGCTTCAAGCAAATATTTGAATTTATTATGCTTGATTTGTCTGCTCAGCTGCCAGCAAAATTTTTAGTTTCTGTTCCATTTCTATATATATGATTTTCATTTTTCTTTTACTTGTTCGCTTTTTCTGTTTTGGAGGGGGATTCTATAAAAAAAAAAACATTGTGAATGTTGTGCACGTAAATCAGTTTGGTTTGTCGCCGAACTGGGCCGGGCAGGCTAATATTAATAGTCCAAAGATATGGAAATATTTTTAGCATCTCAGCGTGGGTTTCGCATCGAAGTACTTCCAATCGAAAATTCTGGCAAAAATATTTCGGCAAACAAATTCTTTTTCAAAATTGAGAAATTTGGCAAAATGTCCATTAGGAAACGTTTTACGACCGAACAAATTACTCAGCAATTATATATATGAATGAATTTACTTGAATAAAACTCATAGCATAAAAATCAATGTTATGAATGCAGGCAATATGTCTTTAAAAGAGCGGAAATGAATTTACTTTTGATCTCTAAAGAAAAACTGCGAATATTTTTGAAAAAGTCTGCAGAAATTTATATAACTTGAAGTAATTATCGTTTGTGTTCTATATTATAGATTATAAAAATTATTACAAAATTTAATTCTACTTTAATGTCAGATTTCCTTACAAATCTGATTTACATAAAAGTCATTTGAAAATCTATAAGTAAAATCTATTTTAGGTACTGGAAGTAAAAAAGAACTGATACCATTAGCCGAAGAAAATCATAAGTGATTAAAGGTGAAAGCTAAACTCTTAGCCAAAAATCGAACATATACATGTATGCATTCTATATGCATGTGTGTGTGTGTGTGTGTGTGTGTATATAGGGATGCATTTTTATGGCGCTCACGATGCTTGGCAGCTGTTGACCCAGTTGGAACTTGGCCATTTAGTGAATTTCTGTAATTAATTTTATGGAGAGCGTCGAGCGTCGAGCGTCCCCTCCAAGACTGCTGGAGGTTTGTTAACAAACTGGAACGGCAAATGTTTGGCTGTCCGCAAGGGGGCGTGGCAGGCAAATGCTTGACGTATTTCTGTCCATTGTCATTTCGAGGTTAAGCTAACTGGGCCAAGTGTGACGAGGTACCCAGCTACGATTGCCTGATTTGGCTGGCAATCAATTTGGCTTGCGGCTAATGTAAACATGGCTAGAAATATGCTTTATTATAGCTTACCATATTGTTATCGAAGACCTGCATGGCGGCTGCTGGTGCTGCTGCAGCGGCTGTTTGGGAACGAGAGATGGAGTAGAGACGATGAGATACTTGAGTCCAGCTAATACAATTGAATGGTATTTAATTGGCCAATTCACTCACTTTCACGTCGTTGCTTATTATATAAATTCAGTTAGCTGCAAGGAGCTGAATGCAAATGCAAATGAAATTTTTCAAAAATATTTCTCAAAATCGTTTTTCGCGTTCGGCTCGTGGCTGGGCGCACTGAAACACGGCGTAGCACTAAGCGAGCCGCTGGCTGCGGCTGTCCGTTCGCTGCCTGCAGCTGGCCGTGCGCTGCCGGCGTCGCTGTCGGCATCTGTTGTATTTCAAAATGCTGCAATGTACGAAAAACGCGCCGAGATTTGTCGTTTTGATTTTTTAAAAATATATCTCAAATATCTATATGGGTGTGCGTGTGTGTGTATGCGTGTGCGTGTGTGGAGAAGTGCGCATGTAGCCACAGTTAGAGATACAGCCACAGATACATCAGCCGTAGCTACAGTTAGAGATACATTTTTGTATATTTAGATATTTGTATGTTGAGTTTATTTATTTAAATTTGTGCGCCCCACAACTGCGGCTGACGCAGACGCCACGAATGTGCCGCATTTAAATATGATTATTATTAATATAAATAAGTATATATACATATATTGGATATTTGTGTTCCACAATTTTCATGCTGGATAGATATATTGATCTAGCTCCATTTTAAAGTTAATACAAATAAATATATATATGTACATACATATATACAGACGGCAGGCATCACATTTGAATATTACTTTAAAAACTCGTGCGCTTTAAATAAAAATACTCGCATTCATATTTATGAGCCTGTGAGAGGGCGCATCGCTATTGACCCCACGCTTTGGCTCTAGGGTTCACTGGAGAACTGGAATTGTTTTTTTCTGTCTTTTTTTGGTTCTGTTTCGTGTGCCGTAACTTTTGTTGTTTACATTTTGTTATTGTTCATTTGCAAATTGCATTTTCGCTTTTTATTTGAAATGCTGCATATACCAAATGCAGTCAGAGGCGTTTGTGGGCGTGCAAAATAACATGCAACATGATAAACTAAAGTGCAGAAGCAATGCGAATGCAAATATTTTATTAGCTTGGATAACTTTTAACTTAAAGCCACAGCCAGCTGCAATTGTCATATTATTATGTAAACATAAACGGAAAATCGGGCATCGATAAAGATAATAATGTTTTATATATTTTTTTGTTATGTACAAATCAAAACATATGTATATTCTGTCCAGATGGCTTTGTCTTGTTGAGTTTTCGATTTAAATTTTGAAAGGAATTCCTACCATATTATTTAGTTTAGTAAAATCTTCAAAACCAGTCTGATATCATAATTAACATTGAATAATAAAATGCAAATAATAAACAAATTGCCATAAATTGTGAAACTTTTTTTAACTTTTTCAGTAAAGTGCTGTAAAGATGTAGATCTGGCAATTCTTTCTATATATTAATATGAGCTCAACTACGCAGATCATAATTCTGTTTATAATCTCATCACTTGTCAGATAGAGTTTTATAAAGAACGAAACCTTTATTATTAAAAAAAAAAAAAAAAAAAAAATAATAATAATAATTATAAATTGTAGGATCAAGTCAAAGTTGAAAATTTCTCAACGTAAATATTAATTTATGAACATTTTAATTTAAAAAAAAATGATGTATTTTGTTGATCTGCCACAATGTCCGATGCTCCTTTGAAAAATAACTGATGCTTATTTTCATTACTTTGCAAAGTTGAAGCTTAATAAATAAAGTGAAACAGTTAAAATAAATAACATAAATAAAATATATTAAATAAAGTGAAATAATGAAAATAAATAATATAATACAAATATGTCAAATATATTAAATACATGCATTATATAAAGAAATAAAATAAATAAATAAGACAAATAAATAAATAAAATACAATGTAAAAAAAAAAAAAAAAAAAAAAAACAAAAACAAAATCAAGTATTTAGATTAAATAATTATAAATACTTTTATATGCAATGTTTACGCTAAGGATATAATAAAATGAAAATTGAAATAAAATTGAATCAGTTATATTGTAAGATAATAATTCTATAGGTATAAATTCTAAAATACTTAATATATACGCAATTTTTAATTGGTGTTGTACATTGTATAAATTGTTGATTAATTTCTTTTATTACATTTCTGCAGTTTTCCTTTTTGTATTGCAACAATGTATTTCAGTTATGCATTATAATTTAATATTTGTTTTTAACAGTTTCTCTCTCTGACTTGATGACAGTCTTCCACTTCATAAAAACGTTAAGCAAAAGAATGCGCAATAATATTCAATATATGTATAAAAGTGTGGAAATGTATTGTAGGTGTGTATGCTAGGTACAGCGCCTTGTTAGCGCCTGTATGAATATATATTTACCTAATTTATGTATATTTTTTATACCATTTGTTTGTGCAACGTTTTGTTTGCTTTTGCTGCTGTATGTCACATTAACAACATTGTTTTTTATTTTTTATTTTTATGAATACGCCTCTTTAGAAGGAGAGAGCATCTCTCTCTGTCTGCTCTCACTCATGCACTCCCTCTCTCTCTTTCTGAGTCTTTCACCATCTGTACCTCTCGCCGTTCGTATTTGTGCGTGATTGTGTGCGTGATGCATTTTAAAATAGCTCGTCTAATGGCTGAATTTGTTTTTGGAAAATTGTTTTTCGCCGACTTTCGTTTTTGTTTCGGACGCGACGACACTCTCCGAATAGCTGAGCGTGATTTATGAACCGCGCGCGGTGCCAACAGAACATGAAACGCAACAAACTAAGCGTAGACCCATCAATCAGCGCTGGCCAAGTATTAATTGTTAATAACAAAGCCATTTCAATATTGTCAATTACACTTAGTACACAAAATTTTAACTAAAATGACAGGGCTGTAAAAATTGCTTATTGCTAATAACAAAATTTCATGAGAAATGGCGCCAAAGAAGAAGGGCAAACTCATCGATTGGGCGGACGATGACCACTTCTCGAAGGATCGCAGCATATTCCACATAGAGCACACCACCGAGTGCCCCATCTTCCAGGTGAAGGCCGACGAGTGCCTCACCTTTTTTCAGCAGCGCATTCCCGAGCGTGAGTTCCAGCTGATCCGGAACAAGAATGGCAAGCAGGTGCCCCGCGAGGGCGCGTTCGAGGTGAGAGTCAGCCAAAATGCTCGCACCTCCGAGCACCTGCTGTGGTCCGGCCTAAACCGGGGACCGCCGCGACGCGACAAGTTTCCGCGCTACGAGACTCTCGTATCGGATGTGCATCGCGTGCTAAAGAAGTTCTATGCGGACAAGGTGGTGGACCTCGACGAGGAAGAGGAAGACATGTAGCTGCCTGCCCGGAAGTCGAAGGATCCGCTACACGAGCTCAACAATGGCGGGCCATTGAATGTGGCATGCATTTATGATATTTCGTTTCGCATATTAACATAACAAAGCAGCCAAAAAATACAGCTAATGCGTCTCATTGTCAAAAATATAAGACTTAAAGCATACACACACACGCACATACTGACACATACCAGCACCTGTTTGAAAAGTCTTTAACACACGCACAAAAAATGAACTGATTAGCAGACGTTTTGTTGCCATTGCTATACTCTGCAGTCTTTTCTGAAGAGGGGTATACTCAACTTGATTGTGTATACAAGCGACTCTTTGAGTCGACTCTTTTAGTCCAAAATAATCTAGAGTTTCGCTTATAACTCTGCTATCAGTGATAGGTATTAACAACATTAGAATACTCACCTCACTCTTTGCAGAGTATTTAAAAATCGCGCAGCTCTAATTTCAGTTTTATTATGGCATTTATTATTACCTGGCAGGTGCCATACTGTCGTCAACTTTTGACAGCTTAAAATGCTAAATGCAAGCAACATAATTAACACATACACATACACACATCCACCCACACACATCCACACACATTATAAAAAAGAAATACAATTGTTATAAGTGTGCCGCATTGTTGACCTATTGTCTGGGAGTTCGCTTCGAATCTGGCGGCTATTCAAGGGCCACGCTCGACCCCTCCATTGACAATACAAATAACCAAAGAGCAAAAAAATGTAAAAAAAAAATTCAAAATAAAATAAAATAGATAAATAACAACAATCAATGCAATCTATTTGATTTGATAACAAAATAGGAAGCACAAAAAAAGTAATCTAAATCTATAACAAATAAATTAGAATATTGCAATGCACGATTGAACAGTGGCAATGAAAACCAGAAAATTGAATGGAATTTTATAAGTTTTTAATATATTAAAAGACTAGTTTTTAATATATTATTTTATTCAAATTTAGTTAAATCATGTATTGCAATCGAAGCCACAAATCGAATAGACTTTTCTTAGTCTCTAGTGTATTACAAATTTATGGTTTAATATATAATATTACTAAAAGTTAATTTAATAATATATTCCTGCTGTATGCAAGAATATATGGATGAATTATTTAATTAAATTTTAATTAGCATAAAATATTATTCTATTCAAAGTACTTATTTTGTATTCTTGAGTTCCAAAGCTCTATGCTTGCATTTTATATTATTATAATAATATTATGTTACATTTTTCTTTGTTAAATGATCAAACTTCGTCACTCAACACTTTTGCCGTCACAATAGTGTCACAACTTGATCGTCAAATGACGTTAAAGCAAATATACATATTTTCTAAATATATTTTCGCTTGTCCCGACATATTGTCTATATATATTTTGCTGAATATTCACTGAAGTCTCTTTTCCTTGGGTCACGTCTGCTTCGGCAGCAATGCGCAAGCATCTTCATTATGTTGAATCGCAGTCTGATTCGATCTGTTTTTACAATGGTTAGCATGTACTTTGCGCATCCACAACTTGTTCGCTTTGTGCCATTGTTGGCCGCTAGGGGGCGTTATGGAAAGGCCAGCAAGCCATAAAAATCCAATGCTCAGAGCCGAACCGAAATTACAATGTTGCAACAAGAATAACAAAAAAAAAAAAAAAAAAGGCTCAGTTGCCAGCTAGCCTGCCACTGTTTGCATGCAGCCCAGAGCAGAGAATGGGGGGCCTGGTGGGTGGGCTGGGTAGTTTTAGGCATGGCCGTGGCCCAAAGGCTTTAGTGTGCCATTTGTGCCGGCTACATTTTAACAATGAAATTTGCAGCACAAGTTGCATGCACCACGTAAAGTTGACACTGCCACCGAGTGGAAGCCCGGCAGCCGCAACAACTACAACAACTACAACTACAATAACAACTACAACTTCAGCAACAACAGCAGCAGCTGCCATAAAAACAACTAAAATAATAACAGCAAGAGCTACATGAGTTGCAAAGTGTTGGCTGACCCGCTGCTGATTGTGATGTGGATGGGAATGTGGATGGGGATGGGGATGTGGTGTCACTTGCCGGATCAGCATGCAAATTAGGCAGGCAGCTGGCGGCTGACGCCTGGCAAGTGCAGATGGCTTTTTGATTGGCTGTCATGGCAGTTGGCTGTCGACTACGGACTACTGCCGGCTCTTGGCTGTGCCAAATTCGGCCAAAAACAATGTCGGCCAGTGTTGGCTGAACTAATTTAAATATGCGTATCTATGGCACATAAATACGTCAGCTTGCGGACAGTAGCTAAAAGCCAAAGGTCGCACTTCGGATACCAGTAAATTGGCAAAGTTTTACGCCACCCGTGCTCTGCTCTTGGCCCGGTCGGTATACGGGCTACAGACTAAGCTGCTAATCAGCCATAGCCAAATCGACTTCAGAAACTTTCAAAATCAAATTCGAGCAAATACCAAAGAATGCAAACACATTTAGCACGAGGCGCGGCGGAGGGGGGCCTGGAACAGACAAGAGCGTCGCACATCATTAATATTAATAAAGGCTGTAAATAAAATGGCAGCACAGCCAGCCAAAAATAACAAGCAGTCGCATATTTCAGCCAAAGCGAAAGTAAATGAGAGCACAACTGGTGCACAGTGGCACAACAATTATTAAATAATTGCTGAGATTAAATGCATATTATTCTTGAAGTTGAGCTGTGGTAGAAGAAAAAGAGTTAAAAAAAAGTACAATGAAAAAAAAAAAACCATAAATATCTAAAAAAATATACAAAATTTAAAAAATAAATCAAGTTAAATAAAAAATATAAAACAATATAATATATAATATAAAATAAAAAATAGCGAAAAAATAAAAAAGGAAGTAAAATAATATTAAAATTAAAATAAAATACAAATAAAAGAAAAACAAACAAATTAAATTAAAAAAAAAAAATAACTTGAATGTATTAATATTATTTTATTATATTTAATTATTTATTTTTTTTTATATTTATATTTAACCCAATATCAAAAACTATTTAAACTATTTAATGAAAAACTATTTAAATACATTTTTAATGCTACATTTATGCTGAATACTTACTTCTTACTATAATTTTTGTTTAAATAATTCAATAATTTGTTTTAGTACACAGACATATGTATAATCCAATGATAAATGATAATTTGCATACCTTTTAATAATAAACAAATGTTTTCCTTAATTTCATTTATTATCTCAGAAATCTCAGAAAATTTACTGATTTTAAAGTTTTCACTGAATTCCGATTGCTTTCGCTCCACATTGTACAACGTTGTAGCTGCTAAGGCCACTGTCGTTTATGTTTTTTACAGATTGAGACAATTCGGTGACGGTTCGAAGACGTAAAGGAGAACCGAACAAAGAGACCAAAATTAATACAAAATACCAGCGAATGATTTCAACATATTTAATGCGGCAGGCCCACAAAGAGATGTCAGCGCTCTGCTGCCCACGGCTTGCAATTTATTTGTATTTTATAGATGCGGAGCTTCAACATGGCCGGTGTGAGGGGCGGAATGTAATACCTCAATTCGGTGACCACCAAGAAAAGCAAAAAATGGGTTAACGGCCAGTGCATGCACTGGCCCTGGATCTGGCTCAAGTGGCGACGGCGACGACAGCGACGACAGCGACGACGACGGCGGCTGCATGTGTCAACTGTCACGCGCGAATCGAAGGCGAAATTTGTGCACAGTGCGTTGAGCCAAGGACATGGCAGGATCTTTGCCAAAAGCGGCATCAGCGCACACCAAGCACCAAGGCACGAAAGTTCGTGTGGAAACAGACCGCAACGCTTTGCATTAGTTCGTTTTCAGCGGCACAGAATTTATTTTTAGTTTGCATCGATTCGGGACGGAGGCAGCTGCAACTGAAACTACAAGTAAAACGGAGCACGTTTCCATTCTCCATGTATTTTGTTTTTTTTTTTTTTTTTTTTTTTTTTTTTCGGTCGGCAAGCGCTTTTGCCAAGAAATAATTTGTTTGGCCATTTCATCTGAGCCTCGTTAAGAAATCGAATTTGCATATTTATATATACATATATATTTATGAACATTTTATAAATAAACTAAATACATAAGTGTAAGTTTTGAATTAAATATATAACAATTTTTTAATTTTCCATAATATGTTTAAATTTATTGTTTTTAATTATAAATAAAAAATTAATTATATTGTATAGTAGGTTTTAAAAGAAGCTTTTAATATTTAAATATTAACAAATATATTTTATTACAAATTATATATAAATTTAAAAAAAAAATTAAATATTAATTGAAAATAAGCTCTATTACTATTTAAATTTTTTAAATTAAATAAAAAGGAAATAAAAATTCATTAAATATTAAATTAAATATTTATTGAAAATAAGCATACATATTTTTATTGGTATTATTTCTTGTTTTGTTTTATTAATCGTTATTGAATCAAAATGGTTATGAAAATAGTATTACATAATATGAAAATTTAACAACATTATAACTTTAGCCAAAAGTTAATAAACTTGTATTTCAAACTAATTATTATGAAAGAAAATTGCTGAGAATCATAAAAAAATATAGGACTTATATACCGAGTATATATATACCTTAGTATCTTAATAAAATGCTTGCATGAATTGTAGAGCAAGGTATTTTTGTTTAAATAACGTATAAGCCCATATATGCATAACAAGATTATCTGAAATGTGAGCCAAGCAATCTGTCATAAATCTGCAAATTTACACGCAAAGCACAAACCGGTTCGACCATGGGACTATAGCTATAGATGCACAAGTTCCGACGACAGCAGTTAAAAGCCTAGCCGTAATGGGCACGATTCGTGGGCATTCTCGCCGAGCCTCGTGGGTGCAATGGAATGTAAGGTGAGCGGCAGCAGGAGAAATGTCAACAGATGCCATTTTGGGGTTTGGCATTTGCCCCAACGCAGCTGCGGGTCAAATCCTTTTAATGAACTGCCCTTTTGATTTTCCGCTTAATTGCAACTTGTCACAATTTAATTAACTTGCATTCCGCATTGTTACCGTTGGGGTCTCCACATTGAGCGGGTCTCATATTGAGCACTTGCCAAAGGTCAGGCAGAGTTTCGGGGCAAGTGGGAGCCGACG